CATGCTAGAACAAATATATAAGTAGATAATTTTACCTTGTTAAACTTTATACAAATGTCTTACCTTTTTACCTTAATTTAAATTCTAGATTTTAAAACTTGTAAATAGAACAACATTTATTTTTTGTAAATCAGTGTTGAAAATCCCTGTTTAGGGAACACAATAAAGTATGTATGTATGTATCTCCCACTGGAGCTGCAGAGAAACAGCAGACTAATCTCAGAGGCAGTGCCCTTCTCGTACCCAGAGCTCTTCTTACGCGCGGTCAACGGAGCGCGACGAGGGGCTCTGGCCAAATAACTGGCATCTGATTGGCTACAACGAAGGTTAATTGTTCTAATCCGGATATATTCTATTACCATGTTTTTATGATATCCGGTTATGGATTTGGCCAGAGCAAGGCCAGAGCCCCTCGTCGCACCGCGCGTAAGAAGGGCTCTGGGTACGAGAATGAGGCAGTGCTGATCAGTCTGCTATCATCCTCGTTCCCAGAAGCCCTGGGAACGAGGATGGTCTGCTATCGCACACTACACCGTCTCCGTACCCAGGCGTTTCTTTGTAAAGCGTGCGCATATGACGAGTTCACATGAAGTATTGTATTTGTAGTACTACACCGCCGTCTAACATCCTCTATATAGTACTCACCTTGACCTTTCAAGACTAATAATGCAACATATATACCCTCACGCGTATTATTAGGGAGGCTGGACGCGCAGGGGCGGGAATATAAAAAAGGGTAGTCATTTTTAGATAAGGATTAGATTAGAGCCAGATTAAGATTAAACCAGGGTTAGGGTTAGATGTTAGAGTGGGGTTGGGTGGGGGTTAGGGTTCAACTTAATAAAAGGCATATCCTTAATCTTTAGAAAATTTGACAATTATTAAGGATAATCCTAATACTACGTGTGAGGATATGCAGAATAGTACTGATAGTTTCGAATACATATTTTGAACGAAACAATACTTAAAATGTACAAATTTTAATATATTCTTTTCCAAAATCAGGGACGCCGGAACTGGGGGGGGCAGGTGGGGCGGCTGCCCCCCTTGCCTTTTGCTAGGGGGGGCAGGGGGCAGAAGTGCCCTTTTAGTTGTAAAATACTACATGATAAATCACATTTCCAACGATGCTTTTTGTTCGAAAATCATGAGATTCAGGCAATTTATAGGTCGTATTTGACTTATATGTCCGGAAAAATTTTTGACCCCTAAAATGGTACACTGACCGTATTTGTTTTGGCGACGGCGGGAGGGGGGGGGCAGAGGTCGCCGAAAATTTTCGATTGAAAAAAAAAATTTCCGGTAGATTTTGAAGTTTTGCTCTATAGAAGTGCCCTTGGTGTGCGTCCGCCCCCCTTTGCCTTATTATCGTTCCGGCGTCCCCGTCCAAAATACACATAGTAATTACTGTATAAGATGTACAACAAAGTGCATTATAAAAACGATTTATAATAAAGTAAATTTACATTGCTACGTTTCATTCTCCATACTTTTATAAACGTAATAACACGTGTTTGAAGTTGCGAAGAAGTAAACATGAATCGGAGTTGTTCGGAAATTACCAGAACATTCGGAAACGCCAGTGTATAAGTAACTCGAAGTTTAACTCGAACTCGAATCCAACTCGATGTTT